CTAAGTCTCAAAAGTCAACAAAGCACCTTAGAGTTAAAAACATAGTGGGTGCAGTTTAAATTTGACAGCAGCTAGCCCAGAGCAATTACAGAATTGAAATCTTTAAAGTCAATTTGCACAAAATGAACCTAACTGTGTTACCTAAGCACTTTTGTCAGAAAACGGCAGATATGTCCACTTGGATCATCCTTTATCTATGCACTTCATGCTTAGCTGCAGGACTGCGGTCATTTATACTACCAGGATAATAGATGATTGTGAAAAAGTCATTTTTCTCGAAAAGCTCCGTTGTCTTGACTTCTGCTACCATTTCATGTCTCATGATTGACAGTAATATTATCGTCATTTGGAACCATCCAATCTGAGCGAAAGGAATTTTTTCCTTTTCACCCTTTTGAAAAAAGGCAGTAGTGCATTTTGCCAATCTAACGAAGTGGTTGCAAAAAGCATTATTTGAAACACGGCGCGGCCCAGTAACGCATTGCGCGCGATATATACAACAACAAAATTGTTAATATATTCACTTGCACTATTAATATTATTTTCGTGACCCAGAATAATTTATTAATTACCACGTTTTACAATTTAAACATTGTCACCAGTCATGTGGCACCATAAAACAACAAACGTGAAACTGAAACGACAGTTGAAGACGACATGACAATCAGATTTTATGTGATCTCTATTTAGCGATGGTTACGCCACATCGCGCCATGAAAATATGTTAAGTGTTAAGGACGCACGGTAATATTTATATTTCCTCAAGTCCAGTTTTAGTGACTTTGACAACGTGATTTTAAATATAATAGCCAGGACGCATTTGTTTTACAAGTAAAATGTGCCGCCGTCGGCGGTCGCGCGCTACTCGTGTGTCATCATGTTAACGGGTGATACTCGTAAAATATTTGTTCCATATATTATTTATTTATATTAGGGGGTGCACCATAAAAATAAACTTGCTCGGATTTAAAAATTTTTTGTACCATTGTTTTCTAGAGACTGTGAGAATTTTCACAATACCAAATTTGTCATACCTTTTTGGAAAGATCAGTGAGTTTTGATGGTGCGCGGCTTTTGGAGCAAAATTAGCTGTAAAAGTCGCGTAATTTGACCAAATTTGACCAAATTCGTTGATTTTTGTCGTATTATTTGGATATATCTTCAGTTCCTTGAATGAGATCATTCTGAAAATTGGCGACAACCTTCCAATAGGGCTTTCACAACTGTCCGAAAAATTTGGTGGATATCGGAGTTGATATAGTGATCAGAATGGTATGGGGCAAAATACGCTGCTTTTAGCTGTAACATAATGTTTGATGGTTGGATATGCTTTAATGTTTAAACTTTTCGGACACCTTCCTTGTAAATCTATGAGTAAGCTCACCAATTTTTGTTGCAATTGGAGGTCGGGAAGGATACTTAATATCTATTTAGTAAAAAACCATCCTACAGTCGGCACGCGCGGCTCACTGTCGATGGCGCACTACCTATTTATTTGATTCACGATGTCAATCCTTCGCAGCTCGGTGAGGCACAGTGGTGCATTTCGCCGATCTACCGAAGATGTGGTTGCGAGAAGCATTATTTGATGCGCGCGCGACCCAGTAGTGCATCGCGCTACAACCTATTTATATACCGTCGACGAGTCCAACTCGGCGCGCGTCCCAGTAGGTTATAAACCTACAACTCATGTGCACGTACCAGTTACAAGTGAAACAAGCGCGCCTGCAGTAGGGCGAAAGCACATGGTTAGGTAAATGTGTGACCTATAGGTGATTTGGAATCAGTATATCCGAAAAAAGAGCCGCGCATGCATTGGGATTGGCGTGCCAGGTAGGCCTTTTCTTAACGGATTTTACTAAGTTTCTCGTCTAAATTTCTTCGAAGTATCGCTTTCTTCTAGCTCAAAGTGGCCCAAGGCAAATGCTATGAAGTAGCGCGCGCCGGGCTAGTCCATAAACAATGAACAATCTTTTTTTTTGCTCTATCCAGAGCCCTTGCGCTTGCAGTAGCGAGAGCCCGCCTTTTTTACTTGTGAAACAAACATGCCCGGCCGCAGCGGTGCGAAAGCACGTGGTTAGGTAACACCCCGGGCCAAGCTACCGTAGGAGTACAATTTTTAAATGAAACCAAATCGTCGAATTTATCCGTCTTGCTGTAGAAATACTCTTTTTAAAGAAACGTTACTTGTAACTTCCAAATCCTCTTGATAATCTTCTCAAATCACATGTATTATTGGGCCGCGCTCAGCTTGATATTCTTCCATATATTTATGAACACATACTTAATTGTACAGTACATGCCTTGTCCAAAATTATGGACACCGAAACACTACATGATCAGTAAACTGGTCATCGAAATTACATCGGGCCCTAAGTGTACTTGGTTGACGATGTCAACCCATCGAGATCGTTGCTCTGCGAAGCAGAGCAACGATCGACGATGCGATGCAAGAATGCTAGTTCGCGCGGCGCGTCGAAGCGGCGAAGTCCTCCAATAAGTGCACCTTTAAATGAAGTAATGCTGCAACCAAGACATCCTATGTTTTTTTGTTGAACTAAAAATTTATATAATTTACTAAGATTTTTATTGAATTTTTATATTTAATTTTTATACTTAATTTTTATATTTAATTTTTATATTTAATTTTTATATTTAATTTTTATATTTAATTTTTATATTTAATTTTTATATAGGGTCATTGTTGTATTTTTATTGTGTTGCTGTGTAAATTTGATTCTGATTCTAAAATATAGAATAGAGATATCATACAAATTAACCATGCACCTTATTAAGATTTGCATGTTTTATACAAACAGTCATAGCTCTTAGAGGAGAGAGAGGGTTAAAAAGTAGTAGTGCAGTAAAAATAGCAGAATTAGATATAAATTTGGAGCCAGTTCTTTAAACTGGCTTACTTATACTACTTAAAGGGTGTTTATTTAGTTTTCTATTGAATTTATATTGAATTTTTATATAGGGTAATTGTTATATTATGTGTATATTGTTTGAATAATCTTACTTTGTTTTATACAAATATTTTGTAATGTTATGTCTTGTGTTTATTATATTTTTGAACCTGTGGGATCCTCCATCCCAATGGTGTATCTAAGGCCCCACAGAGCAGACTTCGCTATGCACCATCAGAGTGGTCGTATTTTCTCCGAATTTAAGGTCTTTCTTGCGAAAATTTGTTCGATTTGGTAGCATAAGGTTCTATATCCCGGCCAAATTAACGACACGAAAAAAATGTTGGGGTTACTAAAAGCTCCAGGGAGCACCAAAAGCTATAATACGGGTCCCAAAAAAACCTAGTGGAAATCCAGGCTATAGCTAGCAATGCATTATCCTGACTGAGAGGTTGATTTAAGATGCAGGCTGGCAATGATAACTATGTAAAATCCCATTCTAAATTTGTTGAATGAGATAAGCACAGGTCGATAGGTAGTTTAACTACCGGTTTACAAATTTGACTCTCCCACATGGCTCTAAGTGACCACCCTATTGTGTACGCATCAAATGAACAAGTACAGTCCATGTTCATGAAGATTTAGGTTTGATAAAATTCTCATAATTTTAATAAAGTAAAGTAAAAGTAAAGTAAAATTTATGACATCACATCATCACACATGTCTACAAACTATCATCACACTAATAGGTGGCATGATTAACTTTCTTTTGGACTTCCTAATTATTCTTCCATGTTTCCATGGCACTGTTTATTTAAATAATTAACATCCATTGCATGTTAATTGTGAAGTCTTTTCAATTGTTTAGATAATGATATTTCTTGATTGATCTACTTGACAGCTCACTATATAACCAGGGCTAAGCTTGAAACTGGCTGGGGGGGGGAGGGGTTCGTAGCATAGCGATTCTGTGTTTCATTTGTTAATATTCTAAGAAATCCTATTGGTGGTTTTATAGACCACATTTAATTTATTAACTTATTATACTTAGTATTTATTTTTGGTGACTGTATCACCCAGTTTTAACATTTGATAATCGTACAGTTTATTGACGACACATTGACTGAATGTTATTTTATATTCTAATCTATATTCTAGATATTTTATTTATTTTTCAACAGACGACAACTTCCTGTTTTTTTCTTCTATATTAGTTACTCATATCTCTTGTACAGACTGTTTTACAAGGACATTGACAGATGCTACTCACATTAGGCATTCATTATTGCATCTAAATTATTTCACTTGCATTAGGATTAGAAATTTATTCTCTGGTTAACAGATTTCAAATGTTTAATTAATTTGTAGTATGACAGTAAGGTATATAAGAAGTTATTTAATTTTGCTTGGGCTATTATATTGACTATTGAGGTTTAATGATGATATGGAATTTGAATTTTATACAAATTTACACTATGTGGTTGGGGCATTTTGCATAGTAAATATGGTTACTACTCCTATATATCATATTATTTGATTGGTATTCGATTTCTGATTATTTCCCTAGGAATATGATTATTATATCTCAATTTGGCTTTAGGTAGGGTGCCCCGCTAAAAGAACTGGATTCTTCCAGGAAGCATCCCGTGCACAGAGCTTGGTCTACATATATATTAAATTATTAAACATTCATTCTGTACGTGCACGAAAATTTATTTCAATATTCAAAGTTACGTTTGCTCGTCACAAATGAAATTTAAAAATCACACATTTCACATACACTGCCTGTTATAGCAGTAAAGCAATATTTCACTGCTTGACAGTGAATAATTCACTGCGATATATTCAAAACCATGATATCACCATTACATGAAAAGATGTTTATTATTTTATTGCAGCTGTATATTCTATTCCTCTGCAACCCAATATTAATTAAATGTCGAATAGATAATATTTTATGAAGTTAGTTTCTCTTTATTCAACATTGTAGTTTCAAGAGAAAAACTGGAAGACAGTTATTCATACTATAACTGCGTTCTTCTGTCATTTTTAGACTAGATTTTCACAAAAATTGTTTTGCAGCTTTAACCTAAATATATTATTTATAGAGCATGGCAGGAGAAGGAAAGCCTCAGCTACATGAAGTGTATGCTGCGCTCTCAGTATTATATGATACTCAGAACAGAGATAAGCTTGGAGTAGAGAAAGCTTCCACATACCTGAGCCATATCCAACAAAGGTTACCTTTAAAAAAATTGATATTATTAAGAATCTTATGAAGAATCTTTAAAGCTACAATATAGGAATAGAATAAAGCCATTGCAGACATCCCCTCTTCTATACTGCTACTTAAGTTTGTGATAACTAAACTATAAATCAAAAATATCAAACCGCTAAAAATTTCAGTGTTTGGGCTTGGGAACTAGCTGACACCCTGCTTATTCAAAACAAAGGAAAGGAGAACAATAATTTTGCTGCTACTATGTTGCGTAATAAGATCCAAAAAGAGTTTCGCGAGCTTCCTGAGAATAGTCATGCATCTTTAAGAGATTCCTTATTGAAACATCTGGACTTATATCGTGAAGGTTTGTTATTTGTTCAACTTTTTAAATGATTTGCTTCTGTAAATAGAGGTTTGATTATGCTAACTAAACAAAAAACACAACATTTTTTATTTCAAAATCAGGGAATTGGAAGTTGCTATTAATGACAATATAAATCATCAGGTGATGCAGTTTTAGTGACCAAGCTCTCGTTAGCTGTGGCAGATCTTGCTCTGCAAATGGTTTCCTGGAAGAATGTAGTCAATGATCTTGTAGCAAGGTGATTGTTTACTTTGATTCGGACTCACTGAGCAGTGATCAATTTTAAAATCAAATCCTTTCACAATATATTATGTAAATTTTTGCATCAAATTTGAATCTGATGATGCGAACAATGCAGTAATGCTTTATTCTTTTCATTTATGTTAGTACTTAACTTTGTATTGTAGCATATTATTGATGCAATGGTAATTTAATAAGTTTCAATAATTTTCAGGTTCTCTCAAGATTCTAAGTCATGGACTGTCCTACTAGAATGTTTGACTGTCCTTCCAGAAGAGGTTGGAAGCAGGTAACTAAGAAATACAATATTAGTTTTAAACTAATTACAACACTAAAAATCTATTACATTTATTGAGGACGTTACAGAAGGAATTAATTTAATGTAGTTTGAGGAGTCCTCACTCTCCTCACGTCCAACAATGGCGTTTCTCGTGTCGCTAATATGAAATAATTCATTAAAATTCAAAATTTTATTCAGTATCTTGTAAGCTACTGATTTAACAATAGTTTGACATAAATTCAGTTAATATTTTTGTTCTTCAAATAGAGTTAAACGTTTTCAAGTTATGATAAAAAGCATCGATTGGAAACATAACTCCAGATTCCAGAATATAAAAATTTTTTATTTTATACAAATTCGAACATTGCACCAACCAAAAAAAGCATGGAATGCAAGCACAATCAAATTCATATTGTTAAATTAATCATATAAAATCATAAGATAATTATCTTAATACGCATCATTAATCAGAGATTAGATAAAAAACAACTTCTATATTGGAATAATATCAAAACGAAATAAGACTCTATAAGCATATGTATAAACTATACATCTCTCCCACAACGTATAACAACTAGCTAAAAATGCACCAACACATTAGATATAATGTAAATGTTATAAAAATATTACCTTTTTCACAGGAATCTGTAGCAGAATTGAATATGTAAAATGACTTATCATTGCAATATTAATAAACATAAAAATATTTCCAAGTTGTTGTTGCACTGAGCTCTGTTCCTTATTTCTTTCAGCTCATTAAACGGTTCTTTTGCGATAGTCAAAACGCGACAACTAGCGCTGGATAACGCTGGCCAGCGCAAAATATATATGTTCGATAATTGTCGCTATCCAGCGCTAGTTGTCGCCATACAGCGCTAGTTGTCGCCATCCAGCGCTAGTTGTCGCTATCCAGCGCTAGTTGTCGCTGGCTATGCGACACTGTCGCACGCGATAGTTTGCGATGGCCAGCGCAACTGGCCATCGCAGAAAACAGTTCGATAACTAGCGCTGGATAGCGACAACTAGCGCTGGATAGCGACAACTAGCGCTGGCCAGCGCTGGCCAGCGCTGGCCATCGATATCCAGCGCAAAATTTTTGCGCTATTACTCGTCAGCTAGCGCTGGCCAGCGCTGGCCAGCGCTAGCCAGCGCTAACCATCGCTAGCCAGCGCTAGTTGTCGCTAACCAGCGCTAGCCAGCGCTAACCAGCGCTAGCCAGCGCTAACCAGCGCTAGCCAGCGCAATGTATCAAAATCATATACTTGCGATATTAGTCGGATGATGATTAATCACTTTACACTCGACTGTCACGTGACTTTTTTAACCCATTCTCTGACTCTAGCTGGTTCTGAACGACTTTTCGAAACCTTAACCCTCTAATCTGATCCCAACCCTAACCCTAACCCAATCCTTAACAAAAACATATGCTGAAACCCTAATAATAACGAGAAATTAGACTAACTTCCTTATACGGTCATATCACGTGATCGATACATGTACAGTTTTTCGCCAATATCTCGTCAGGAGAGCATTTTAACCATATGTCATGGGCCCATGGGGGTTAATTCGGAATTAGCGTCCGAAAATACATCGATTGAAGTTGGTTACAACCATCGGGGGCCCTTTTAGAACAATCTCGAAGATCGACTGTAGAGTGATTTAGCACGCTCGATATTAGTATTAGTATTACTCGTCAGCCAGCGCTGGCCAGCGCAATATAGTTGTGATATTACTCGTCAGCTAGCGCTGGCCAGCGCTGGCTAGCGCTGGATAGCGCTGGCTAGCGCTGGATAGCGCTGGCTAGCGCTGGTTAGCGACAACTAGCGCTGGCTAGCGCTGGCTAGCGCTGGTTAGCGACAACTAGCGCTGGCTAGCGCTGGCCAGCGCTAGCTGACGAGTAATAGCGCCAAAATTTTGCGCTGGATATCGATGGCCAGCGCTGGCTATCGCTTAGCGCTGGCCAGCGCTGGCCAGCGCTAGTTGTCGCTATCCAGCGCTAGTTGTCGCTATCCAGCGCTAGTTATCGAACTGTTTTCTGCGATGGCCAGTTGCGCTGGCCATCGCAAACTATCGCATGCGACAGTGTCGCATAGCCAGCAACAACTAGCGCTGGATAGCGACAACTAGCGCTGGATGGCGACAACTAGCGCTGGATGGCGACAACTAGCGCTGGATAGCGACAATTATCGAACATATATATTTTGCGCTGGCCAGCGTTATCCAGCGCTGGATAGCGACAACTAGCGCTGGATGGCGACAACTAGCGCTGGATAGCGCTAGTTGTCGCCATCCAGCGCTAGTTGTCGCGTTTTGACTATCGCAAAAGAACCCATTAAACTTAATTTTAAATTGTATATCCAATAAACTGCTATTATATTAAGAAAATAGATTTAATAATTTAATTTAGTAATTTAAACTTCTTTTTCTAATTCTACCATCAAAAGAGTTTTTAGAATTATCCATCAAAGATAACCCTAAAAGATATTGTTTTGTTTTCAATTTCGATCTTTCAAATTGTTCTCAATACTCTTCAAGCTTATCAAAGACTTCTTCACCTTAAACTTTGCAGTTTTCTTCTTGGTTCTCAGAAGAGATTTCTGGTTCAACTGGACTGATTGCTGGAAGTGGAGATATAGGCAACTTGCTTCTGCGCCCCTTCCTTTTCCTCTGAAAGCTAGTTGCTACAAATGCTAACTTTAGTCTTCGCTTGAGTCTCTCAAGAAAGGTGGTTTTGCCGTCATGAGAATTGTCGCGTATTGTTGCAACAGTTAATTCTAAGATCAAAAGGGTTACACTCACTAACACTCCAAGAATCAAAACATAGAAGATACCAATAAGAGTTTGGAAACTCAGCATTTTGTCGCTGCCAACGCTGTCTTTACCACATTTCCTTTCTTCTATTCTTTTTCCTTGCTCATTCCAAAGGTCGTGAAAGAATCCTTCTTCACGGTATTTCAATAACTGTTGATTAAACAGTCTGGCGTAGGGGGAGTTTATTGGAAGACCAAATGCAAGTGGGATTGTCAGTAATTTTTCTCCAACAAAGAAGATTTCACAGCTGTCAAAAATGTAGTATTCAAGCCACAGAGTATCCTCGATGAAAGCAAATCCACCTTCATCAACCATTTCCATCCCACTATGAAAACTTGGGACATCTTCTGATTGGCTCCCTAGCTTTTGATAATTTGTTTCAATATTGTTTTCCAGAAGGACTGCAGTTATGGATTCATGTCGTACACCCCATTTATAATCAGTTTGAATTAGCAGCTCAGAAGGTTTACTTATAGGTACACCTTGGTTGTCAAGAGTCATGAAGGCTGTGAGGTTAGCTCCATACATATTGGTGATAAGCAGAACAAAGAACCACCATGTCAGAACTATCATTCGTCCAGATGGGCTTCTCGGCAAAGGTTCACCTCCCTGTCCAAGTAAACTGCCTCCGATTACCCAAACAGCATTAATCAGAGAAATTGAATCGGCATTGATCTCTTTTTGTGCCTCAGTTGCCAAACACTTGGCTGAATCATCCGTAGGATCCTCACAACTTTTACAGCAACAAGTTTCATTTGCAAAAGCTATTATCCCATGCTGATCAAAGGGAGAAAGCTTCCCAAATATAGTCTGGAATACTGAAATGAGGGCAAATGCTATGAATATCGCAACCCATGTCGAAAAGGCAAATGGACTCAAGAAAAAGAATCTGTTATCTGTTTTAGACTCCGCTTTCATTATGACACTTATTCCAGAGTCCAGGTAGGAGAAAGTAAAGTCTATATACGATCTTCTCTGTGAGCTTACCGATAAATCCATGGCAATGATATCAATCCTTTTTTTTAAGAGGTCACCTACCATGCCATCCCACTCTCCTGTTGGGTTGCTTTCAGTTTTAGTCAAGAGGCCGTATTTCTTATCTTTTGGCTCAACAAACTCGTATGTAAAATTAAGGTCTTCTGCCAATCTTTTAACAATCTTTGGGCAGATTCCTTCCCAGCACTCTATTTCTTTGCAACCTTCCACATTTGCATTTATAGCAAAAGGAGGAGCATGAAGGGCCCCTACCTTCAAATGCTGACCTTCTAATGTATCAGCAATGCCTGTCGGGGTTTTCTTGACTCCTCCAAGAAATTGAATATCTCCTGAGGTTATTTTGAGTCCTTGAGCAGTTGTCCACGTCCCTATTCCCGAAAATCCACTATCAAGTCCTGTCCCTGGATCTATGAAATTCACGATTCTGTATTGGCTGTCATGATCTTTTGCATGATTTCTATCTAAATTATAAGACCCAGAAGCTCCTGTATAATTAGTGGTCGTCAGAAAACGTGCAATGTCTTTACCAGCCGCCCATTTGTTGTTTCCACATCTTGCATCTGCAACAGTTCCTGTCAACTCATTAATGTTATCTTGAAGTGCTGTAGTGGCGAGCATGGCTGCATCATATAGCATCGCTACTAAAGGGGTAATGTCACTACCTTTCATCTCTCCTGCAAGAGATGACACAGCATCACGCTTAAAATCTCTATAGGTTGGATTCACAGTATCCACATAAAGAGATATACCTATCAGACCCTCATAGTAGATGGGAAAATAATAATTGTTATCAGTTGTTCTAACTCTCAGTGATTGTGGGGTTGAAACAATACTTTCTGTGACAATCCAAACAAAATCCTCGCTCAACAGACCTGCATTATAAGCCTCTTCCAGGACAAATCTACCGTAGTAGTCCTCGCAATGTAAAACAAATACTCTATCTAGAGACTCTACCACGTTCTTTAGAATATCCTCCAAGTACAGGTCAGCAGGATCACTTACAGCTTCAAAGAAGTATACTGAAGCATCAAACTCTTCCTCGGCAGTGACATCAGCCGTTCTTTCAATCAGCAACTGTTGTAAAGTTGTAGCACTGTGGATACCGTAGTTACTGTCAGAGGATATCAGTGAAAGCTTTGTCCAACCAAATTTTGTCAGCAAGTCCACAAGAACTTGTGCCTGGGTCAAATCTGAGGGGGCCATGACATACAGTTGGTTCCTTCCTGCAGTTTGTAGATAAGAATCTGTTGCTGCAGATGCGATGAGAGGCATCTTGACGCTGTTAAATACATCTGCTTGGTTCGCAATATTGTTGGAAATATCTGGAGATATCACCACTACCACATCTTTAGTCAGTAAGTTGCATGAGGCATTGACAACTTCAAAAAGAGAAGACCCATCGTATTCCTCGAACTCGTAATTAAAGTTGACCCCAGTAGAATTGCTGTTGACTTTATTGATGGCATACTTTATTATGTGTTTGAAGATGGGCAAGGAAGCTTCGTCTTTTTCGTTAAGCATGAAGCCTAGGGTGTATTCTTGCTGAAGGCACCCAAGTGGCAGGAAAATGCAGAGGAGAGTTACGATGATCATAAATTCCTATAAAGGTAATTTTAGTATTATATTTCTTGTAAGCATAATACAAGTTCATGGGAAACGTTGTCACAAATAGAAATGGAGTGAAAAGGAACAATAACCAGTATAAAGCAGGCAATATTGAATTTTGTCCCAAACCGCCATTCCTGAATAGAAATATTCTAATGGACAGTAATAACTCATGAAACTCTTATTTGGAAAAGATCAAACGGTTCTAAAAAAGCCTGCTTGTAAAATTGGAATGATAATAATGAGCTATTGATTAATTGATAAACTAAGTTTAATCTTTACTCAGGAGTAGTTATTAGATATAACAAGAAATGCTGCCGCTTTTTTGTGGAGAGGATGAGACGATTATCTAAACCATTGAGGGTTTATATAGTTTCACGGTGTGACAAATTTTACCTCATCGAGCCATTTAATATGGCCACTAATATTTAAATATTTACCAATATCCTCAAACTCAAATAAACGCGTCCATAACTGATTATAAGGCATAGACAGAATTAAAACATATTTTATTGTAAACCACACTAAACTAAGGAGAAGCAGAAACCACACAAATACATGTAGGTATAATAAAGGTTAGTACAGCGACATAATCAACCAGAAAGAAGCTGATCTTAGAAAGCTAGAGATCAAGACATAAGATAGAGTGTGGTAAAAAATAGAAGCCAATGTGTTTTGCAAAGTAAAGACAAATGGAAAAGATAGAGACTTCAAAACTGATAATGTAAATGGTTCTTTAACATTCGCTTGAAACAGTTAGTATCAGTAATACATCTCAAGATTTGATATAATGTAAATGTTATAAAAAGATTACTTTTTTCACAGAATTGTGTAGAAGAAATGAATAAATAAAATGTCTTATCATTGCAATATTAATAAACAATAAAAAGATTTCCAAGTTGTTGTTGCCCTGAGCTCTGTTCTTAATTTCATTCAGCTCATTAAACTCAATTTTAAGTTGTATTCAATAAACTGCTGTTATATTAAGAAAAGAGATTTAATAATTTAAACTTCTTTTTCCAAGACTGTCTACCATCGAAAGAGTTTTTAGAATTATCCAACAAAGATAACCCTAAAAAATATTGTTTTGCTTTCAATTTCGGTCTTTCAAATTGTTCCGAATACTCTTCAAGCTTATCAAAGACTTCACCACCTTATACTTTGCAGTTTTCTTTTTGGTTCTCAGAAGAGATTTCTGGTTCAACTGAACTGTTTGCTGGAAGTGGAGATATAGGCATTAGGCAGCTTGCCTCTTCTTCACCTTCCTTTTCTTCTGAAAGCTAGTTGCTACAAATGCTAATTTTAGTCTTCGCTTGAGTCTCTCAAAAAAGGTGGTTTTGCCATCATGAGAATTGTCGCGTATTGTTGCAACAGTTAATTCTAAGATCAAAAGGGTTACACTCACTAAAACTCCAAGGATCAAAACATAGAAGATACCAATTAGAGTTTGGAAACTCAGCATTTTGTCGCTGCCAACGCTGTCTTTACCACATTTCCTTTCTTCCATTCTTTTTCCTTGCTCATTCCAAAGGTCGTGAAAGAATCCTTCTTCACGGTATTTCAATAACTGTTGATTAAACAGTCTGGCGTAGGGAGAGTTTATTGGAAGACCAAATGCAACTGGGATTGTCAGTAATTTTTCTCCAACAAAGAAGATTTGACAGCTGTCAAAAAGGTGGTATTCAAGTATCAGTGTATCGTCAATGAAAGCAAATCCACCCTTATCAACCATTTCCATCCCACTATCAAAACTTGAAACAAATTCTGATTGGCTCCCTAGCTTTTGATAATTTGTATCGATATTGTTTTCCAGAAGGACTGCAAAAACTGATTCGTGTCGTACACCCCATTTATAATCAGTTTGAATTAGCAGCTCAGAAGGTTTACTTATAGGTACACCTTGGTTGTCAAGAGTCATGAAAGCTGTGAGGTTAGCTCCATACATATTGGTGATAAGCAGAACAAAGAACCACCATGTCAGAATTATCATTCGTCCAGATGGGCTTCTCGGCAAAGGTTCACCTCCCTGTCCAAGTAAACTGCCTCCGATTACCCAAACAGCATTAATCAGAGAAATTGAATCGGCATTGATCTCTTTTTGTGCCTCAGTTACCAAACACTTGGCTGAATCATCCGTAGGATCCTCACAACTTTTACAGCAACAAGTTTCATTTGCAAAAGCTATTATCCCATGCTGATCACAGGGAGAAAGCTTCCCTAAAATAGTCTGGAAAACTGAAATGAGGGCAAATGCTATAAAGATTGCAACCCATGTCGAAAAGGCAAATGGACTCAAGAAAAAGAATCTGTTATCTGTTTTAGACTCCCCTTTCATTATGACACTTATTCCAGATTCCAGGTAGGAGAAAGTAAAGTCTATATAAGATCTTCTCTGTGAGCTTACTGATAAATCCACGGCAATGATATCAATCCTGTTTTTTAAGAGGTCACCTACTAAGCCATCCCACTCTCCTTTTGGGTTGCTTTCAGTTTTTGTCAAGTGGCCGTATTTCTTATCTTTTGGCTCAACAAACTCGTATGTAAAATTAAGGTCTTCTGCCAATCTTTTAACAATCTTTGGGCAGATTCCTTCCCAGCACTCTATTTCTTGGCAACCTTCCACATTTATAGCAAAAGGAGGCACATGTATGACCCCTACCTTGAAGTGCTGACCTTCTAATGTATCAGCAATGCCTGTCGGGGATTTCTTGACTCTTCCAAGAAATTGAACATCTTCTGATGTTATTTTGAGTCCTTGAGCAGTTGTCCACGTCCCTATTCCCGAAAATCCACTATCAAGTCCTGTCCCTGGATCTATGAAATTCACGATTCTGTATTGGCTGTCATGATCTTTTGCATGATTTCTATCTAAATTATAAGACCCAGAAGCTCCTGTATAATTAGTGGTCGTCAGAAAACGTGCAATGTCTTTACCAGCCGCCCATTTGTTGTTTCCACATCTTGCATCTGCAACAGTTTCTGTCAACTCATTAATGTTATCTTGGAGTGCTTTAGTGGCGAGCATGGTTGCATCATATAGCATCGCTACTAGAGGGGTAATATCTCTACTTTTTATCTCTCCTGCAAGAGATGACACAGCATCACGTTTAAAATCTCTATAGGTTGGATTCACAGTATCCACATAAAGAGATATACCTATCAGGCCCTCATAGTAGATGGGAAAATGCAGCCGACGAATCTTATCTGTTGTAACTCTCAGTGATTGTGGGGATGAAACAATACTTTCTGTGACAATCCAAACAAAATCCTCGTTCAACAGACCTGCATTATAAGCCTCTTGCAGGACAAATCTAGCGTAGTAATCCTCGCAATGTAAAACAAATACTCTATCTAGAGAATCTACCATGTTCTTTAGAATATCCTCCAAGTACAGGTCAGCAGGATCACTAACAGCTTCAAAGAAGTATACTGAAGCATCAAACTCTTCCTGGGCAGTGACATCAGCCGTTCTTTCTATCAGCAACTGTTGTAGAGTTGTAGCACTGTGGATGCCGTAGTTACTGTCAGAGGCTATCAGGGAAATCTTTGTCCAACCAAATTTTGTCAGTAAGTCCACAAGAACCTGTGCCTGGGTCAAATCTGAGGGGGCCATGACATACAGTTGGTTCCTTCCTGCAGTTTGTAGATAAGAATCTGTTGCTGCAGATGCGATGAGAGGCATTTTGACGCTGTTGAATACATCTGCTTGGATCGCAATATTGTTGGAAATATCTGGAGATATCACAACTACCACATCTTTAGTCAGTAAGTTGCATGAGGCATTGACAACTTCAAAAAGAGAAGAGCCATCGTATTCCTCGAACTCGTAGTTAAACTTGATCCCAGTAGAATTGCTGTTGACTTTATTGATGGCATACTTTATTATGTGTTTGAAGATGGACAAGGAATCTTCGTCTTTTTCGTTAAGCATGAAGCCTAGGGTATATTCTTGCTGAAGGCACCCAAGTGGCAGGAAAATGCAGAGGAGAGTTACGATGATCATAAATTCCTATAAACGTTATTTTTAGTGTTATATTTCTTGTAAAGGGTCGTTCACATATTACGTAATCAGCCGATGGCGGAGGGGGTTTCTAAATGCTTACGGTAGATTACGGGGGAAGGGGGTTTGATCGTTGATTACGTAATCAAAATTTTCTTTTTCACTCTCTTGAATAATAACAATTTGACAATATTTTAATTCAAATTCCACTCAATTTCACTCTGATAGTGATAAAATTTAGCAATTGATCGGATATCCCACCATAGTATGTAGTTTAGAAGGTGATTGGCCGGATATCGATATGAAATTTCATTAATTTCCAGAAAACATTCTCGAGGGCCAGGTCCGAAAAATATTTTCGGCTCATAATGATCAGAGTAACATGAACACTGGAGAAAAGTGGTTTCCAGGAAAACTTTTAAATTTTGTTACTTCTACGATTACAACTTTTAAAATTTTTGACTTAGACAATTTTCATTCCGAGTCATCCTTGATACGTACCTCTGAAGGCAGAGCTCCCGCTTCCGAGCTTGCACTGCAAAGGGGAGGCCTGCCTTGCAGGCTGTCTTTTGAGATCGTATTACAATGGGGGAACCGTCGATTCCAAAATCGTATATCGAAGGGTAGGTCCGGACTTCGATAATCGAAAAAATATTTTCGGCTTATAATAATCAGGGTGACATGAACTGTGGAGAAAAGTAGTTTCCAGGAAGGAAAAAAAAATGTTCGGCCCGAGTCATTCTCGATATGTACATTGAAAGGCAGTCTTTTAGTTCCAAATTTAAGATATTTGTAAAACAACTTTGTTAAAACATTTTACAAAATTTATACAACATACAAGGCCAGGGGGTTCCTTGTGTTCGAACTGGAAAATTGTTGAAGGTCGAAATACGATTGAAGGGCAAAAATTGTCTTTTAGGTGTTTGAAATGATATCTAGATTCTAGATGAATATTTGATTTAATTTATTTCTTCCTTTACTAGATCGAAATTTTGTAAAAAATTGGGTTTACAGTTGATAACAGAAGGGGGGAGGGGTGTAAAAATTGTCCAAAAAATGATAGCGTAACATGTGAACGACCCCTAAGCATAATACAAGTTCATGTGAACGATTAATAGAGATTAGTGTAACAGTCTTCATTCATTTAAATGATGGAGGTAACATTTTCACAAATATAAATGGAGTGAAAAAGGACAAGAGCTAGTATAAAGCAGTTAATGAGGTAAAAGGTCAATATAATTGAATTTTGTCCCAAACCACCATTCCTGAATAAAAATATTCCAAATTCTTATGGACAGTGATATCACTTCCTCATGAAAATCTCATGGGGGAAAGATCAAATGGTTTTAAAAAACCATTTGCTGCTGACTACTCGTAAAATTAGAATGATAATGATGAGCTATTGATTAATTGATAATCTTTAAAGTTTAATCCTTACTCAGGAGTAGTTATTATAGGTGGTAAACCTACGCCGTAGTAATAATATTTGGCGACGTAATCTCTGATGTCAGGTTCGCCTAAATTAACATGTTGTCAATTTAACATACTACTACTACTACTACTATGTCGGAGCTAAGTCCGATCTACGCCAGAAAACCCCCTCCATATATCCCTGTCCCGCATCAGGGTTCGCAGTTCCTCTTTAGAGTTTGTCCCAACTTCCTTCAGTAACATAGACAAGTAGCTTTGTCTTGGTCGGCCTTGCTGTGCTCTACCGTGCGTAGGTTCCCATAAGACTAAATCACTGGCAAGTAGCTCAGGATGTCGGATGCAGTGTCCCGCCATTTTTAATCTCCTGCTTCGTAACTTGTTTGACAGCCTTGGGAGGCTACCATACAAAGTTATATTGCTGACCTTGTCCTTCCATGAGATACCCAGCACCATACGCAACATCTTTGTGTATGTCCCGTCCAAACTTTTCTCTTGAGCCTTTGTCAGTGTCCAGGTTTCTGATCCGTAGAGCAGTACTGATTCACAAGCCGCTATGAACAATCTAATCTTTAGGCTCTTTGAGAGTTTGGATTTCCAGATATCCTTCAGTCTATGTAGGGCACCCCACGCTTTTCCCTTTCTAACCCTTATCTCCCTATCTGTGCTCTCAATCCAGGAGCCTAAGTAGATGAAATCATCTACATTTTCTATGGCTTCCCCGGATCGACTTTGTAGGTCGCTTGATCGATCCTCCATATTCAGTGTCATGACCTTGGTCTTGCCTTCGTTTATGTGTAGTCCCACGCTTGCTGCCGCCGATTCTACTCTGAGCAGGAACTCGTTAGCCTTGTCCATGTCCTCAGATATAAGTGCTATATCATCTGCAAAGTCCACATCGGTGATGATCTTGGGCCCCACTCTTCTGCTTTTTCTACGTTCGAGGGTGAGTCCAAGTCGCTCCGCATCATCGCCTATGGCTTGCCTCATACAGTAGTCGATGACTATTGCAAAGAGGTAAGGTGCTAAGGTATCACCCTGTAACACACCTGCAAGTATCTCGAACAATTCAGTTTCTCCGTCTGGAGTTAGGACTTTGGCCATTGTCTTCTCGTACATGAGCCGTATAAGCTGCACGATTTTGACTGGAATGCCGTAAGCTTCTAGAATCTTTAGCATTTTCCCACGATGTACACTGTCGAAAGCCTTCTTAAAGTCTATAAATGTCAGAACAGCTGGCAGTTTCCGACTCTTGACACCCTCTATAAGACGTCTCAGTACCAATATCTGTTGAGTTGTTGACCTTCCTGGTCTGAATCCATTCTGGTTTCTACGCAGAATTGTCTCGATTTCTGGCTTCAACCGGTTTAGAACCATCTTGTTTAGAGACTTGGCAACTAGGGATGACAAGCTTATTCCCCGATAGTTCATTGGTTCGCTAAGGTCGCCCTTCTTTGGAATTGGTATGATGTTGGCAGTTGACCATTGGTCTGGTTTCTCACCTTTCAATAGAGCATTGTTACAGAAGTCTAAGACAATTTGATCAAGGTCGCATCGTTTTAAGACTTCTGGGGCTATGTTGTCGTCACCCCATGCTTTCCCTTCCTTTATGCTGGACTTTGCTTTCCTGTACTCATCCAACGTAAACGGTTCTGTTCCGATATTCAGAGGTGGGTGGACTGGATCAATATCCTCTTCCGCGTTCTCTACCGTCGGTGGTGAGCCGAGAAGAGTAGCAAAATAGTCCTTCCATTTCTGAACCCTTTCCGTTGGTGAGTTTCCCTTGATTTTGCCAGTATATGATGGAGCTTTAACATCTTTCGTGTAATTAGTTCAGAGTAAAGTTTGTAAGAATGGAAATACTTTGAGCTTTACTAATGGAAAGTTTCACGATGTTCTAGAGTCTACATCATCCATTTAAACAACAAAAGGACGCTACATATCACAGAATGACTTTATTTTCCGTTAAAAGTAGCCATTTTATAACTTCATGCCCTTAGCAATGTTTTCTTCGCGTTGGAAAGAAATTATAAGCTCTCTGTGGAATTTGGCAACATGTTAAATTGACGAAATTGCGTATAAATTCACGGAATCGCGTATAAACTTAACATTTCTGACGTCAACGAAACAGCACGCAAAACGAGGTCGACTGACTGAAACATTTCTCGTGTGCAATAGTTCTACTGCGCGTGCCACAGACTTCTTGGCACCAATTCACCGAAACTCCAGTTGTTTTGAAATGAATGTTATGTTTATAATCTGTCAATCTTAAAAGAGAATCTGTTTGTCGTACAGTATTTTCCATTATTTGCAGTTTGTTGCGATTTTATCACATTAGTCGTCAGTTTATTTTTCTATTTAGTTTTGATATATTTTCTAGTAGTTATGTTTTCAGGTGTGCCCATTGAGGTCTTTATTTTTAACTTATTATGATTGTAATCAATAAATTAGTCCATTAGAGACGACCCCCTTACGAGGGGCTTTCAATCAAATTTATATATAATAATATTAATTCAAATAGTAATAATTCCTCACAATAACACTGCACTCTTAATAGGAAAATGCCACACTGTGTAGATCAGCACTTAACGACAGAATTTAAACCTCATCTGATAAATATTTCGAAAACTTAAAGTTTTGTATGCTCCAACGGCCATAAAGAATAACTCGACAAATAAAATTGTTTATCACAATGAGACGAGTCCCCATCCTCTTACAAACATTATCGTTCCTAATAGTAACATAATAACAAGACATGTGTCATGTATTAAAAATATATATACTCTAGTGAAAGCCACACTCATCTCACTGATTTGAATTGTCCCTTCATTGATGAAGTGGTGCTTGTTTGGCTCAGCTTTCTTCTTCTTTTGCAAGTTTTGAACAAGAAGTCTATACTTAACTCCAATAAGCTGTCTGGACTAATGAAGACTGAGCTTGACTGAGTATCTGATATGTTGTATTGGAACTGGACAGAGTAACCTTGACTGGCCGAGTACAATTCTTCTTCAACTTGCCAACTCTACTTAGCTCCATTGCTGGTTTCAGTCCAATCTCCTCAAATATGTCTCCGACAGTTCTGTTTAAGTCTTTACTGGAATCTTCAGGCAAACGGAGAATCAAGATATTCTTGCTCCGGTCTTCTGCTTGCACCATCTACTTGACGACTTTCTTTAAAGTCTCGGGGGTAACTGAACTTTCAGGTTGACAAACCATGATATTTTCCTGAACTGCATTGCTGTACAATATAAACTGACTTTCAACCGTATCTTAACGACGGTCTGCACTGCCTTCAACTGTTTATGCAACTGTTTTTCTTGGCAGTCAATTACTGATTCCTGAGCGCTGATAATCAATTTCTGATTCTCAATCATCTGTCCACAGCTGTCATGATGTAAGGCTAAGCTACAAGGTGAAAGGCACAATATCTCACCGTTAAACAAGGCGGGATAAGAAAGCAGATAAGAGGAAGAAAGCAGATAAGAAGAAAAGAAAGTAGATGTGAGAAAAAGAAAGCAGATATTATCATTGCAATGTTAATACAAATGAAATTGTAAAGATTTCCAAGGTATTGTTGCA